CGTGGGTCATCCATGCGCAACATATTCGCGCTATGTGATTGGCTGTTGTCTAATCCCCCTTGAGATTTGTGGTGTTAAAAATAACTCGGGACGAATTACCTGTGGAATGTGGTGTGTATGAGGGATGCCTTCTCTGTCTCCTTTATCCTCTCTTGATTAAAATACACTTTCGTTAATAAGGTCCATTAATCCTTCAAAAATACGTTTCACGTAGAAGTCAAATGTATGCACATGTATTTCCACAGAAAGGAAAAAATTTACCTTTAGCCAAGAGACAATTGCCTGAACAATGGCGTCTTCATGCAAAGTAGCACAAAAAGAAAGCTTCAGGAAAACAACACAACCATGACTTAAAGTTTGTATGCGTGTGGGTTCTTAGAATGACATGAAAACAAATATGCAGCAGGAAACTTACCGATGAAAAGCCTGAATGTCAAAAAAAAAATCCAATTGACAATCCACAAATTTACCCGCGAAAGCACTGGTCAGAGATATGACAAAACGGGCCGAAGCGAACGTTTTACGCTAAGCATCTTGGGAAGACGTTTTAAACCTCCTTGAAAGTCTGATCAGACCTATAAGTATCTTTATTTGCGGTGAAACCCGAGTCGGTTCAGTTCATCAATGATATTTTGCATATCGAACTGCTCAAGAAGTTGAGTAACTTTCTTGCTTTATTTCGGTTTGCTGAAAGGGTTTAGACGTTTCATTTAAAGTTGCCCAGCAAAAAAAAGGATCTGTTTTAAACATGCATTATAACCTCAATAATAATTTCTTTTTCAATTTTTCGACCTTTTTATCACGATCGAGAGCGTTTTTTTCACGAATTATGTCTCCTGTGCTCTTCGTGGGTAAATAATCTATGTCTGTGTCTATTCATTTGTTGTACAAGAGTAGTAGTGAATTAATGGGTAAATGAGGCTATGCAGAATTTCTTCCTCCTGATTCTTAAGCCACTGGTTGAGATGCAGAATTTCTGTATCATTGATATGCCGTGCAGTTTTTCGCAGTTCGTTGCGCCTTATGATAAACTTTTTCCACCTGTAGATTTTAACTTTAAAACAATGTTCAGAATAAATATGGATGATTAAAATAATTGTAATTTCGTCGTGATTACAGGATATGATAAGCTTTTAGCTCTCCGCCATGGTTAAAAGAGGTAAATAAAAGAAGTATAACGAACTAAAGCGGTTACAAATAATATCAGGCCCGTATCCAGATTTTTTTTTGCGGGGAGGTGTGATCCAACGAGGAGACGGATCAAATGAGGCGGAAGGTGCAAGTCTCTAGGGGGAGGGAGCTTTGATTGTCTGAGACTGAATTGGGCAGCAAGTTTTCAATTGGGCGGCTCACTTCGAACGCGTTAGTGTGAGTCAACTAAGGGGATTCGGGAGCATGCTTTAAATTTAAGGCCTCTGAAATGGCTGGAAATGCATTTAAAACTAGGCATGGTGTGGTGAAACTTTCAGCAACAGAAAAGGTCTCCAATAAAAAAAAAAAACTTTTCTTCACAAAACGCATGATGCAACAACACCTATTCTCCGAACCTTCGACCTTGTTCGATAACGGAAGTTTACCTCCATGTTGAACTAGAGCAGCTGATGCACTTAGCGAACAAAAATCTATTTCGTCCTTCAGTGCCGAGCTGGGACACAAATAATAAAAGTTAATTAACAACCTTTGACCGCTGTGAATAATCCTAGAGGGAATTTTATTGAGTAATGAAAAAGTGTCTTGTAGGCAAAGAAATCCCTTTTTATACTTTACGAAGGCTATTAAAAACATATTTTCTGGAAAGGGTGAGTTAGGCTCAGTGTGACCTTTTTTGGGGCATTTTCAATTATACTACCTAATCAGTAAATTAGAATAGAACAATACTCCTACTTCACTTCGTTTTAAATCGCTGATCAACGAAAAAGTGAACCACTGTTGCCCGTGGAGGGCTGCGAGAGCACCCGTTGCACCCCTCTCCATACGGGCCTGAATATTACAGGAAAGGAAGAAGCACCTGTTTTGACCTGTTTTACTGAGTGTTGAACATTGATAACTTTAAAACTTAAAATCGGACATCTCGTCGTCTTCAACTTTAAAGGTGCTAAGACGACCTACAATACAAATTATGGCCAACAAATTTAGGGGCTTAACAAGATTCAACATGGCGAAATGTTATGCAAGATGAACAAGTGAATAAAAGTGCCACATGTTAAATAAGAGTACAATAGATAACAGTGTTTGTTTCAAAAGGTGAACAACGGTGCCTGCAAACCGTGTGTCAATCAATAAACGGTTGAATGGTTCATTAATCAAAACAGGTGATGCTTCTTTATGAACTTGTTGGTTGAATAGTTTAACGGTTTTTAAGACACATCTTATTTAAACTGATCTGTAATACAGTTATCTAAAGGAGAATGGAATATTTCAATCTCTTTTGAGAGGAGTTATGTCTCTAATGTAACAAAATCTGTCGAGAGCCGGAAATGAACTGCAGCGTTATCGGACAGTCAACCTTTATCTTCAGTTTCCTTTATATAAAGCTGGCTTTTGTTAGTGTTGAAAGCGTGCACAATACAGGTATACGAGATTTGATGGATTCAAGAGGAGAAAAATTTCAAACAAAGCAAGTGGAGGTAATGTTTTTAATAAACTGTACTTTGTTCTTAAGTTATGTTTATGACCTTTAACTGTTAGTGAAATGAAGTGTATAGCAGTTCATCTCGCCAAATTTCGAGAATGAACGCACAAGAACTCCGTTGGAACATAATCTCTCGCATGAGTCGTAACTGCTTTACTCAATGAGTCTCAGAATGTGCAACGGAAAAAATATTTTTACCCAGAAGAAGAACCATTTCCCTGTTAACTGATATGATGCTTATAAGCGGAGTGGTATTCACGTTTATACCTTCTAGTAACAGTCAAACTATCCCTTTGAATTCTAATTTAGTCTTGTTTGGTCTTTGATAATTTAGTTAGAATTCCGTAAAAGCATTAAAGCGTAACTTGCACGCTTGGTCACTTTTAGTATCAATCGTTATTCAGAGTATTCTTTCATGTAGACATGGGTGGCCAGCAGCCGGGCTCAAAAATAATGATAATAATGTTAGCGCTCTCCACCTCTAATTGCCGTAATCGTGTGGACTGATGTAAATGGATATTTCCGAAAACGATGAAGTCACAGTAAGTGACCTCCAACCAGACAAGAATTTTTCCCTGCCACTTTTCCTTCTGTAAGAAGCACATTTTAGAGTGTTTTTTTTCTTTTGAGTTAATCTTAAAGCTTGTTATTTCAGAATACACCTGGCTCAGTGAGGCTTCCTTTAGTTCTGGTTTTGAAAATCAAAGCGTTAAACTATTTGACAGATGGCTGATACAGAAGAGTATTTCAAAGTGATTGGTGAAACAACTTTGGCAACCAAACAATTATTTTAGAGGGAGAGCAAAAAATAACCACATTGATACTACATTCTGGTGCCTTAATTGTGAAACCTTTAGGGACACGTTTCTGTCGTCAGTTTTAAATAGACTTATGTCTCTTTGAGGGACTTAAACTTTCTTCCTATATTCACTTTGCTACTAATTTATATTTTTATGGCGAGCGTTTTTGAAACAGTCCTATTTATCCTACAGATAAACTTGCGAGCAGAAGACACGGATTACGCTTCTTTTTTGGACTCTTTCATCCAACCAGCAAGGATCAAGAAGCTAAAAATTGTCCAGAGAATACTGGGTAATTACAAAAGAAAGAACGTTCCTGTGAATCACGATAGACTTGAGGAAAATATTAGACAAGCTCTAGAGCAACACATTGAAGAAATGGAACCGAACTTTCGGTCAGCGTCCTTTCTGCGGCTATGGCAGGAGTTACGAAAACCACTGACTGATGTAATAAGACCGCGAAAGCTCGAAGAGATGCTTGGTGATTTAGATAAGTGTAAACATGATAATGTGCAAGACTTTTACAAATTTCCCTATGATGTTGACAATATTCAAAGGGACTTAACTATTTGCAAGATCTGTGAAATATTGGTGAAGGAGACGGAATCGTCATCCGCGCCTGATCACAATGGGAGTAATTACGTTTACATGTGGAGCCTATTGAAGAATCCGCTGACAAGATGCTTTAATATCGCACGGTTGTCTTTTTTGATGGAAGAACTCGCACAATGTCTGCCTCGTTTTGAATTGGCAGGAATTAAGTATAAGATGCCGAGTAAAATGTCCGAAGTGAAAAGAGACGTAATCATTTGCAAGGTTGACGAAGTGCTTAATGAACCTTTTGGCTATGATGGGAGGTTGGGAAGTGCATAAAAACCTTTAGAGAATGGTCGTAAAAACCGCTGATAATCTTAACGAAGTGCAATCGAATAACCTTGTGACTACCGAATTTGTGATGCATTAGGAATGCCAAACGAGTCGTTGATTTGCACTGAATCAGGCTATTAAGGCAATACTACGAATCACGAGAAACATTTTGATTACAAACGTTTAGTATGTTTACTAGACCTTGCCCGCCAACGAATAAGGGCACCACTTCCGGGTTAAATCCCATTGCCAATCTTGATGCATTGCTTACCACGAACACATATCCCGCGAAGTTCTTGTTACATGAAATTACCGATAGTAGTGAAACGCTTTTGTTTCAAAGATTTGGTATTTTTTCGAACAGCTTTGGCTATCCGTTCCAAAAAGAAATGTCCGTCCGTTTGAATGACTCGTTCAATAAAAATTGTTATCATTCGAACGGCTTGGGCGATCCGTTGGAAAAAACCGTCATCCGTTCCAAAGGCTCGGGCTATCTGCTTGAAAAAAATTGTCATCCGATCGAACGCCTCGAGATATCCGTTCAAAACGATTGTCAGCCGCACTACTCTTCCGTTTGCGACGAGCCAGTCAAAAAATGTAAGGGACGGACCATTCTTTTTTTTACGGGGGCATGATTGGAAAATGCATTTCGGGCTTCTAGCTGCACCTCGTATTCTTTTCTCGTTTCGCTTTCCTCCACCATGGCTCAAGATCCGGAAAACCCCGAAGCTGAAGCTGTTGTCGCGGCTGTGCAGGCTAAAGAAGACGATGTTGAAGAAATTAATGCTTTTGCTGCAAACGCGGCTCCTCCTGTTGCCCTTGGTTAGCTTTCTACCTTTTGTGTTCGTTAGTTTCCAAGCTCGTTCCCGGTTCACCTTTGTATTTTTTATCTCGGCTTCCTCGCCTTACCGTTCGTGTCGTTATCATTTATGTTTTACTCTTGCGTGGCACTTAGTTTCCGTTTTTTTTTTTTTTGCCGTGTGTTCGTACGTTAATTTGTTCTACGGATGTCGTTCGCCTGTGTGCCGAATTTGTCCAGTTGAGTCTGTGTGACCAGTTTACTTTATGTTCTTGCGTGTTTATGACTTGCATTAGTCTTGGTACGCTGCGTGAAGATTTGATTTGCGTCTATGTGACGAGCTTTGGTACTCTGTGTGGAGATTTGATTTGCGTCTGTGTCTTTGCAAACTACTCTTAATGCTTAATGCTTAATGCTTGGAACAGTTGGCTATCACGCTATTTTGGTCAACTGACGTAGCGTTGTGTTCTTTATATTATCTTACCGTTGCATTCTTACTAAAGCTATGTGTTAGGGCGACTGTTTGTGTATTTCTGGTGTCCTACTTGCGAAGTATCACGTGTTTTGAAGCTCGCAATAAAAAGTTGGTCCTTCATGAACACAGGGCTTGAGCTTTCTTCCCCAACCACCCGGACAAAAGACGTATTTACGCAATTAACAAACGGTGGCCTCCTTTGGCGAAATCTGCTACGCTTGCCTAGGTGGTTTGCAGCTGCTTGCGGTTAAGGAAGAGAGAGACGTCACAGCACATATCAGGAAAATCTTTATAGGCGGGCACTCATCTGGGAGATCGGCGAAAGAGCCCTTTTCTGATACCTGGAAAGAGTCGCCCCGTGCTCATCGCCCGTCGCCATAATTTGCAGGTTCGTTTTGTCATAAAGTACTATTGGCCTAAAATGAGGTTAATAAAAAACACATTGAGGTTAAAAAGATCCTGAAGCAGTGCTGACATCATGCTGATGTAAAAAAATCAACTAATGTGTAATAATGATGCTTACATAGTATCGATTTCGGTAGCTCGCAAAATGCAATTAATTTCTTCTTTCCCGTTAGAAGGGTCTGAACACGCGCGAAGGACAGACATAAAATTATCTGGGCGCTGCGATTTATTTTGGTCATTCTTCATCCAACCCCGTCACTTTTGCGCGACGACAAAAAGATGTGTGATTAAGAACCTGAAGCGAAAGCAAGTCAAGTAAAACACTGCTCTCAGCTCCGCAAAGAATAAATTTGCACGAAATTCAAATTCTCCCGTCGGTGAAACTTCATTATTCACAGTGCAATTTAGCACTCCCAACCACCCCCGCCCCCCTGGTTCGCAAGTTTGTCACGCCAAAGGTTTCCGATTATTCAAACAAACTTCTGCTTGGTCTGGGCAGGTGTTACCTGGAACAAAGAGCCTATTGTTGAACGTTAATTGGGAAATTCAGCTCGATACGATGGACCATTTCTTGATACGGTGGTCTAGGGCTGCGCGCCCGACCTTCTTACAGGCAGAATTGGGTAACCCCCACACAATGATTTCATTGCAGGCGGGTTACTTATCACGTTAGACAGTGCCCTGTGCTAAGTCTAGTTGTAAGCAATAACTTGTACTTTTTGTCTTTGTCACATCAACTAGCGTAAATCTCTTTAAGAAATTAGAGTGGCTCCCATTTTATGACGAAGCCAAAGTTAACAAGTGTTCGTTTTAACGATATGTCTTTTTGGTTCTTCATTTTTTAATTTTTGTTGTTATAGCTTTAAGTTTGAGGGCCACTAGTTATTCAGTTGAAGTACTGTCACGTGTTACCCTCGTTAAATAAAGTTGATTATGGCTTTTCCCCTTTCCTATCATTTCGTTAGTTAGTTTTGCACTCGTTTTTTATTTGTAGGCCTCGCCCTGTGACGAGGCTCGTTGCGATTTCCTCCTGGATCAGATATCACTTTATATTATCCGGTGGTGCAATCGGGAAGAGGAAAGTCTCGAGTTGCAGGCCCTCTCACTTCCCCTTCCATAAGGATATCGGTGAACTTTAGAACTTTACGCTAGTTTTCCCGTGAGATTGTTTCACTTTTCTCTCCCTCTTTAGCCATCGTGCTAGGACTGCCGAAAGTTTTCAATAAACTTTTTCTTTTGTATTTTGGGGAGAGTTACGTGTTTTTTGTTTATTGTGGTAGCTCGGAGTCAGTTTGCCCTAAGTTCTAGGGAAGTGGCCGCCGTAGGGCTCGCCTCTTCCCATAACTCATCCCAACCTGGGGGCGTTTGGGAGTGGGGGCTCCCAGTGAGAATTTATTACTAAGTATACTTGGAACCTACTTTGAGTGTGAAGGGGTAAAATGTACCAACTTTACTTGGTGACGATGGAAACGTTCGTAGTTCAAAGAAGCCAAAGTTAGCCCCAAAGTATGGTCAACACCACACTCTAGAACACACTTGACCAATAAGAAATGAAAGCCATGTGCACGAAGTGCGCTTGCAGTAGTTCCAAGATTCTAATGAACTGGAGAGATTAACAGCTTTTACTTCAAGTAACAGACTTTGTCAACAAGTGGGAACTGAGCCATGCTTTCTACCGAGCGACTTAAGATTTCCAAGTGCACTTGAATCAAGTACTTACCTGAAACTGACTTCTCTTTTAGTATGAAGCCAACATTTATTTAATTTTTAAGGGCAAGAGACTGAGATGACTGTCTAACTGGTAAATAACGCACGCGCTGGTTGTAGAATAACTGAACAAGAAATTCCAAAACTGTACGGTCCATAGCCTAGTAAAGTATTAAAGATTTCTTCTGAAGTATGTTCCAAAGTCCATAAAATGGCCGCGAAAGAACGCACACGCATACCATCCCTGATCAAACTAGCTCCTCGCGAACGTTAAAACATCACTGTGGCCTAAATAAAGCTAAGAATCAAGCGGTGGCTTCAGCATCAGCGAATTGGTCGAGTTTTCTTTCTCCGAAGTTACTCCAGTTATTCAAGCTTAGATTAAAAGTCCCACAAAATTCTAAGGGATTCGGTCAGTGATAAGCTTAAATGATCAGTGAAGTCAAAACCCTCTGTTCATCGGGATAAAAGGAACAAAAGACGGAAACAAAAATTCCTCAAAAATTTCTCACGTTATGATGACTTGCTGAAGCGTTACCAGTTGATGCAACTGCCACCCGCTGAAACATCCAAAGCATCCAAAGTCAAATCCAAAACTTCCCTCACTTTCCACCATTGTGATCATCGTGGAAAATGCATTAGTAACCACGTCTTTGTCCTTGTAGAAAATGTGACGTCAAAGTAGGAATCTATAGGAATTGGTAGTTATCGACAACCATACATGGTGCCAAGGAAAATTTAATAATTCTGTTACGCTTTTCGCGGTATGTCCTATAATTATAATTATCATAACCATAATTATTCAGATTTGAAACTCAGCCAAGGATACCTGTAATGAAATCTTAATTTTTAAAACAGCAATATTTTTATCAAAAGAGTTTCACTTCACAGATGCCTGAATCTTGATTTTAGTCCTTGGCCGATACAGACACACCAAATTTCCTTATTTCCTATTGATTCGCTCCAGGGACATTAAGTTGTGAGAAAGAGAGCTATGATTGAAATAGTCAGAGATGCTCAACAGCATTAATCTAGATACCGAAAAACACTAACGGAAAAACAGTTCATCAGAGTTTCAGAGGTGCTTTCATTTTCTACCAGTATACTATCAGCTATACAATCAGTTTACATGAATGCATTTATTCAAACTTGCATATTTATGAGCGAATATTTTATTCTTTAGCTCGAAACCCAGAACTAAAAGTACAGAAGATCGAAACACTCTCCTCAGCACGTCAAACGTTTTGATCTTTACATTAAATTGGTGAAGGCAAAACCATCAAAACACTTTCAAAAACTTTTGGTAGACAATTTGCAGTACTCGAAGAGGAAAAACCGCACCACCAAGCCATAAACACCTACCTCAAGATGAAAGGGTTTATTTTCCTTGCTGTTCTTGCTACGTCAGTCTATTCAAAAAGGGTCAGCTACAAAAATTGTTCATCGCAAAAGCAGCTTGGAGAGACCATCTATGTGGATGTCACCCCTTGTGATGAAGATCCCTGTATACTCAAAGCAGGCGATAACGCAACCATTACCACCAGTTTTAAGCCGTACGAAACTGTCACAAGCGCCAAGCTTTTCGCGTACGCAGACGACTATCCATTGCCGATTCCGAAGCCCAATGCATGTGATGGTCATGGACTTGCCTGTCCGCTGAAGGTTAACACACCCGTGAATCTTGTGTTCAGCCAGGAAATCAGGGAGTATTACCCATCTGGTACATACACGCTGGAAGCCGGGTTAAAGGATCAAAATGGAGTTATAATTATTTGTGTCGTCTTTCACTTGAAAATTGTATAAATACACGAACATTTTCAATTTTGTGAGGGTAGGACAGTAAGATAGAGTGTAACGTGAAGTGTTGTTCCATTATAAAACCTGAGTTGACTTATGTATTGCTAAATATGATTCTTAATGTAAAGAAATTAAATCAGAATTTTCCGTTACAAGCTGATTCGTTTAGGAATGGATTTAGCTGGAATTGTGTGGTTTGATGGTCTCAGATAAAAATTAAAGAATAGACCGAATTTTTCAATGAAAAGAGAAAAGACAGCAATGTTCGAAACCTAGAATAAGTTATCGCACCTGTTGGAATCTGATTACAAGTATCGAATCTACCTTATTTTCGACGCGTTCAGCTACAGCTGCGGAAGCGATTTTATTATATGCTACATGATATAGTGGAAGTTAAATTATGTTTCCTTAAAACCTCGAGATTAAATCTCTCCCGAGTAGGAAGGTATTTAATCATTTTATAGGCACTATGCGCTTCGAATTTCAGTTTAAATGAAAAATCGAGCAAAATTTCGATTTCGTGGCAAGAGTTGAAAAATCAATTTCTTTCATTTTTTGTCCACAGATAGCTTTTAGGTAGATAACAAACCTGATGTAGAGTGTTCTCGCCAGAAGCCTTTTTATTTGTGACAAAAATTAGCCTAATTTATAGCGTGAAATTCGTTAACATCAACTTTCCTCGCGTTAGCAAACGAAGAGGCACTAAGAAATTTGGACACTTTCTAGAAGATACTTTCAGGGCAATAGCGAGACTCGTCGCACTGAAATAATTCAATAATGAGGGATAGATTTTCATGATAATAAAAAGTTAAGTTCGGTACTCTTTTTCGAAAGCAATATTTAAAATGTGGCATAACTCCAAATTCTCTTCATGCTATTTAAATCACACATTTGGACATTCATTTAAAACATACCTGGGTATTGGCTTGGGTTACTGAAGGAAATCTCTGTAAGACACGATTGAAGTTCAGGAATTTTCATGTTAGGCCGGCGGTAATTGTTTAAACACTTCCAATTTCGCAACGCAGCAAAGTGGATATTTCAACCCTGAAGGCACGTTTTTCGTACTTCTGAAGGATAACATTTCGATGGGCTATAGTTCTGGCACTCACTTTTTATCGAAAAATAATGACTTTGACAATGGTAATTCGCTAAGAATGACGGAACAGGAGGATATTTCGCCTTGTTACATTACGAAACGAGGAAACCTGGAGCCTTTAAATAAGTTATTTCGGTCACGCTTCACTGTATTTACCGGACTTCGATGCTATACCACATAAAGAATAATGCCGCAGAAAATAATTGTACAACTAAATTTAAGTTTAGTCACCGCAAAAACCAGTTCTTCGTTTTTGAATTATGTCACTTCAACGAGTCTCGATATTACTTTGACAGTGTCTTCTAGTGAAAAAAAAAAAAGAAGAGTTGTCCTATTGATGGAAAGTGTCCAAATTTCTCCTTGCGACTTTTCCTTGCGAACGCGGGGAAAGCAGATGTTATCAAATTTTGGGTTTGAAATGCAGTGAGACCTGTATTAAGCGGACACCCTCGGGGAATGCTGTAGTGTCCGCTTAATACAGGGTGTCCGCCTAATACAGGTTTCGATAGATAACGTCACATGAGGTGTCAAATGCCATTTAAATGAACAGTGGAAAGGTTAACAATACTCCCAGAGATTTTGACGATATACGTTTGCATTAATTTCATTATCAAAGTGGACCAGTTGATCATAATACCATAAACATAGATTGCAACTCAAATTTGAAGAAATCAGATGAGTGAAACAAGCTCTATACAAACAAAATGAAATAAAACAATACTGTACCGTGAAACTAATCAAGTATGTTCGTCAAGTCACATTTTTTAATGTAAAATTTGTGGGTGGCAGTTCGAGGCAATCTTCGCATTTCCGGTGTCTGGTATGTTGGGTAGTGGCATTTGATTACAAGTGTCCGTTTAATACAGGTTGGTAACAATAGAAATGACCATTTCAGGTACTTTATAGGTGTCCGCGTCCGCTTAATAGAGGTATCCGCTTAATAAAGGTTTCATTTAAAGCAAATAAGGGAAATAAATTTTGGGACTTCGGCTACTGTCGGCTTAATAGAGGGTGTCTGCTTAATACGGTGTCCACTTAATGCAGGTTTCAGTATAAGGTCATTTTTGACTCCCACGAAGAAATCTGATATTCACCGCTAACTTTTCTCGAAAATAAAAGGATTTTTGCTAGAACAATTTTCATCAGATTACTTATCTACCTAAAAGCTACCCATGGACAAAAAAAATTAAGGAAACCACCTTTTCAACTCTTGCCATTCGCGATGCTCTATATTTCCTGACCGTCGCTCTTAACCTGTAGAAAAGCAAAAGCAAGGTAAAGCGTCCTTATTTCATGTCGTAGCTGCCCGAACTAGTAATCATGTGACTAACCAACCTGAGGCTGGTTATGATGTGCTCATTTTACCCAACCCCCCCACCCCCTGTCTCCCTCCAACAACTCTCCGTTTCAAGGGTACTTTTAAAAAGCTTCTTAAGGCTACACGGAAAGAAAAAACTGGGCGATACAAATTTGGGAAAAAAATCGCGACCTCACGTAGACAAGGCGACGTACTTGTATACTGTACCGATCTTTGCTCCCGAAATTTTAGGGTTTTCCTCTCTTTTTCGAGCCTTTTTCCTTGGCACATTGCAGAACTCACCTTCAGCTTACTCTTTACATGATCGCGGCGCACACTGTCTTCCCAGTTTGCTTTCATATTTAAAGAGGCCAGGAATATGAAAGATCTCCATTAGTCTCCTAGGGTTTCGGCAGCTGACGGCACAAACTACGTATGCCTCGAAAATAGCTTTGGATATAAGGATGAGGAGCTGTAGAATAGCTAACTAATCAAGTTGTGGCAGGCAGATACACTACACAGTTTCAAAGCGGGTTTCATTAAGAATTTTTCATCTTTTAGTTAAACATGCACGTTGTTTTAGTTTATTAATAGGCACGGCTCTCAAGGAAAGCGGGCATATTTACACACAGATTATTTCATTTCTTCGTTACTGATTTCATATGTACTAGACAAGATACAAATTAACTACATAAAGGTTTAGTATTATTGTAATATTTATATATATTTTATAAAAACTTTTGAATTCCTGATGAGATTAGTGGATAAATAAATAAATTAAAATTGTTGTTGGTCCACTCATGAAATATCTTGTAGATATCAATAACCAGGATGCTTCTATTTTCTAGTAGCATACCTATTAGAGACAAAACGCATATATTAATTTCGGTATTTAAGGGCAAATGTTTTATGCGTGACCTCGAAACATAAACCAACTGAACGAGATCGAAACACCGTATTCTCAGAGCAAACGGAATTGATCAGGATGCCTTACAGTGGAAAAGGAAACAACCTTCGAGACCCCTCTGAGATTTTTTAAATTAAGACATTATAGTTCTGTCCTTTAGTCCCATTGTAAAGCAATTGTGTAAGTAAAACTTAATGTCCAATATGAATGCTAAACGGACTAACGATGCATACAAGTTGGTGCTTTGGTCGTGTTCGGTACCGATGCCAACTAGATTGATTGCCAATGGAAAGTAGTTACATTAGATCAAAGATTTTTATCAAAAACGCTGCTTAATGGTTAGTAAAGACATTTGATTATTCTGTAGTCTAATGATCGAGAATGTACGTTAAAAATCAAAAATAACTATGAAACAATTTGATCATAGTCACATATATTTTGCACAATCATGTTAGCTCGAGGTCCAGATCTATCAAAAGGAACTGGAAGCAGAATTGGAAACCCAGAGTCAATTTCAAATGTCATATAGTACAGTATTTAAATAATTAAAGCAGCCAACTTATTTTTAATGAAATTTGAAATCCCTTTTGATAACGTAATTGTTAGAATACCTTAGTATTTATTTAGTACAGTGCCAGTAAAACTTATCTCCTCAGGAACTGTAACGCGCTTATGCCTTGTTATATGGAAATAACTGTCAAATACGTGATCTATTTGTTGCAGTGATGGAAATGAAATTGCTGTAGTATTACTTGTAGTGTTCTTATCGACTACAGAACAAGAAAAGCTGATGGGATGGCATTCGTAATGAAATGCAAGAACCAGAATTCGACCTAACAGTGTAAATTCTCATCAAGGCAGATGAGATTTATTCGAGTTCGCTGCAAATTCGAGTTATCGAAGTTCACGTTCACCGAGTAAAAACGCCTGAAAAGCGGGACCAACTCCAAGGGAAATGGGACTTATTTAGAGTTATCGAAGGAGTTGGAGTCACCATGACTCTTTGAAGGGTCAAATGAAGCTTAAGCCACGCCCAGATTGGTCTCCTTTAGGGGTTTAATTCAATGAAAGTCATTTCTCAAGTCCCAACCGATCCCTGAGGAACTGAAAGTGAGTTCTTATGTTCGAAAGGAAAAAAACAAAGATTGGTAAGAAAGGACGGCCTTGAACACTTTACAAATCTGACAAGTGCTGAAAAACCAGTAACCTATCAATATTAATAACATGTCTAATTGAATATTCAATGTACCTCGACAACTTGAACTGTTTCGTTTCCCTTAAGGGTTTGAGTTACCAGGTTTCTACTGTCGTTCATAAACAGACATCCAATAAGAGCTCCAATGCACCATAATTTTAATTGGACTAAAGAAGTCTTCAATAACCGTTTAATTCTTTTCGTGATATCCTTTACTCTATCTGCATATAAAGCCAAGAGAGAATAATGCTTTTTCTCTCGACGTGAGAATTTATAGGAAACTTGATCTGAGAGTCTCCAATGTATGTTACAGTGATGAACAAAGGCGTTTTTAAACAACAAAACAGGACACATCTGAGCTTCGTTTAAGCTTAATTTGACTCCAAAAAGAAAATTCAGCTGCGACAAAGAAGTTTTCATTGAGCGGTCTCTTCTTTCTGCATTTAAAATTCGTCTGCTGCTGTTCTTATTTAACCACTCACGTACTTAGGCCGCGAATCATCCCGAGCCGTCCTAACCAAATCTTTCCACACGATCTGATCAAGCATTGCATCTCTTATTTCTTTGGTATCGTCCAGTCCAGTGACAGCCTTGATGGTGTCACGGTGTACCTCTTGGTCTACCTCGATTTGGGTGACTGTTGGGGTTCCCACACAGCACTTTCAACCAATCTCTTCATTGTCAAGAGCACGGTGGCTAGGTAATCTTAATCTTCTCGCACCAATTGTTTTGCCAACCCTTGGGAGGCTCCATGTTGTTGCCAATCACATTAAGAGCCGTTCGCAGCATTCTGGTGTAGCATCCACACACATCCTTAAGCGATACATGTGTAGGCAAACCTATTGGCGTTCGGCTCCAAATAATACCAAAAACTGTATTTTACACTGCCTAATCGAGACTATTGACGTCTGCAATATTATGTGGTGAATGTAAAACCCGGCCACATGAGTAGTGTATTGGCTTCACGAAAGCGCAATTTAAATATTACTGGATTACTGGAATAATCTATAAATAGAATGGTCGACTGTGGCTTGTACTGCCTTTCTTTTAGGCACGACTGGATTATGTAATAGAAAAGAAAAAGGAGAACGAAGAATTTTTATTAACAACGACGGGGGTTTCAAGGTTTGGAGGAAACGAAGTTGTATGTGCAAATGTTGGATCATTAAGTGAAAATATTAAGACGGAATCCACCAGGATATTGAGTAATTTTAATTTTCAGTGAACTAAAACCTTATTGTACGAGAACAATTTAAAGAAGATTGCATTCTTTTTTACATTTTTCAAGGATTAGAGATGTAATTAGTCATCTATAATAACTCCAGAGAAAATTTCCTATGGGAGCCCGAGAAAATGAATGTCAAATTTCACAAAAATCGTCAAAACACAGGTAAAATTCTGAAAATTTCATGTGCAAGCTGTCATTTTGTTAAGTTTGACAGTAATTTTCTCCGACCCCCATAAGAAATTCTCTTTGATGTTATTACATATAACTCTGAGTTAGATCTATAGGTCTTGAAAAATGAAAAATGAAAAAAAGGATGCAATATGCTTTAAATTATTCTGGTACAAGGTTTTTGTCCCCTGAAAATTAAAATTATTCAATTTCCCGATGGATTCTGTCCTAAAATCCCCATGTGATTTAAAAATAGAGCCGGGTCAGCGATCACCAGTACAAGTCCCAAATTCAATGAACATATTGATTGCTTTTTGATGACTCGAGCAGCACGGAGACAAATGCAACCAATTTACAAAAGTTTTCTTCATGTGCTCGTTGTACGCATTTGCAATACCGTTTTTTTCTTCTAAAGAGCCTTCTTCAAATGTAGCAAAAGTAAAGAAAATAAGTATATAAGTGGCGTTTGAGTAACAGTGGCCTCAAAATTTAGGGCTATATTTAGTTTGGTAATCGGGGTAAGGAAAGTGGCACTAAACTCACTTAAAAAACTACATCAAAGTTTGTTCAAGGTACCAGCAATCGTATGAATTGTGTTTCAAGATAATTTGAAAAATGTCGCGTCAATGGAAAATGGGGTTTACATGTAAACAAGTTGGAGCGTAAAAACAAGTAATGGCATCTCATTTCCCTTTGCTATTTGAATGAACCCAAATGGCTCCTTGTCTTGAGACTACTGAACAATTTTTATTCTTTACTTACATAAATGTATTTATTTCTCTCTCTTTTTTCCAGTCTGTGTCACATGTAAACGGAGCTGAGTGAATTAAATCTTCTTGTCTTCTTGTCTTGCCATCGGTGTAGGTTACTTGCTATTCATGAGCTTCTCATTTGTACCTTTATCCCGACTGTAACTTAATAATTAATTGAAAATGATTTTGGGTAGGGCACCCTGTTGATTTAGGTTAAGGAGTTCAAGTATAGAGTATGCGTAAGATTATATCTCTAATGATGGTGTTTTATCATGTTTTCACCAAATGTTTATAACAGTTTATTTTAAGGTTTTGTGAAAACTATGAACTACGGCGTTTTGTTTGCAAGACCAAACAAAGCGACAAACAGTTGAGTGATGCCGAATCGGCTCTTAGTTGTAGACCTGGATCAGTACACAAACAGCGTGTATGCAAGATGTATAAACGGCAAACTGATCCTTACAACAAAAAGACGAAATAAATAAACAGTTTTTACCATATTGATCCATATTTCAGATTGGAAGACAATCCTCCTTCTGGGGCTGAAGCCTTTTTACTTGAAAGTATTTACACAAAGTAATTAGTGGCATCTTAACCAAACGCCTTCACTATTAGCTAAAAGTTAATAAAGATCAACGTTCTTGAAGTAACTTGAGATAATCACTTCAGCCAATTTTCTTTTTTTCTTTAACAAGTAATTAGCAGCATGTGCACTGCATCAGGTCATTCTCATCTGTATTCTCGATATGAACTCTTTAACCCTTTCACTGCCAGAGCACTTGATGGAGTTTTGTAAGGTGACTCTAACTTTTTAGTCTGTGGACGAAATCCTATGATGTGACCATTTAAATGAAAGCTCTCTGCCAGTGTACTTACACATGGTGCTATTTGAGAAATTTTCACAAAATGAAATTTGAAAATTTGGTCCAAATTTGCTTTTGGCTAAATTTGGCAGTGAAAGGGTTAAGTGCTCAATAAGTGTCCTTATCAAGGATGAGTATATTACTATGCCTCCCTGCAAAGGTCAGAAGATTTTTAATCAAGTATAGCTTTAACATGCTGTAACTAATTGTGCATCATTTTTCGTGCTTAGATTGGCCTAGCCTTGCCTTTCGTCAAACCGGCATCTTGTAAACCGCGTCAGGATCAGGATCTCTTGATTTGGAGAAAAGATGTTGAATCTTGCAAATTCAATTATTACTGCTATTTAATATTCTTATCGTTGTTGGTTCATGTTGAAATCCTAGCAGATTTTAAAGAGGAATTAGTGAAAAGATGTTAAATATTGGTAGTGATTGCTAATAGTAATAGTACTAATAATTAGTAGAGAAACATTTTCGCGGATTATATTTCAAGAGATATTGAGACATTATGATCTTTTCTTTTCTTTTTAGCAGATGCAAAGGTACCAATTTCGTTTTAATTCTTTTTAAGCGAAGCACTGTACATGGGTCTTTTTTACGATTATTATTATTATTATTATCCTCATTAAACACAGCTTCTGGATGGCTTGCTGGAGTCTTCCTTAAACATCAAGTCATGCCCGTGACCTTAGGTGTCCAAGACTTTGCAAAGGATTCTGGCTGTACCCAGTAAGCACGCTCTCTACAATGATTCCAAACAACATGTGACACCAATCTCTGCTAACCACTCTTCTATATCTTTCGAGACAGTTCTTAATGCAATAATACGTCCCTTGCTCTCCAGCAAAGCTCTTTGTACCATAAATAACTAGTTGCAAAGGGCCTGTTTCAATTTAAATTCCACGAAATAATGTTTCACATCTTACAATATTGTATGAAACAACAGTCAACCTCACAATACTGTTTTTTCTTATTGCATCAAGGCTATGATCAATCCGTCACTTTTGAAAGGAAATCCGCAGATTGGACTCTATGATGTATGCAGAGGAAGCAAGGAAAGTCAGCAAAAACAGCCAGAAAAAGAGTCGATCAAAAGAGACCGAAATGGCACGCCATATTTTTCTGTTTTCTTCGTCAGTCGGTTCACTCTCATTTTTCTTGATTGGCGGGTGTTCAGCTTCGGGTCTTGAGGGCGGAGAAACCGACTCCGTATTGTTTTCCACTCTCGTCAGCTCGCTGTCAATGGCATTTCGATTCATAAGCCTTTTCATTTTGAATTTTGTTTCAGTTGTATTAAGGATCTTTTTCTTCCTCTTTTTATTAAACATTCTGTACAGAGCTCTGCAGCAAGCGGGTGGTTCACTTGTTGAATGGTAGGCTCTAAGCACTAGGATGGTGGCTACCAGGACGCAGGCGATCTCCACCATGGTGATAGTATAGTAGATACCGAGAATGGGCAGATTATCTGATTTCTCTGGGAGCATGTCCGCTATGAGAAGGAGAAATACACTGACAGAGACCATTATAGTCGAGCAGAAACCAATCCGTTCGCCATTTTCAGGAGGAAGTGCAAAGCTAAACAGAACCAGTACAGTGCAAATAACACAAGGAAGGATCAGGAACATGGCGTAATAGAACCACTGTCGCTTAATTATCAGCGTGTACTTGATGAACGAGAACTCCTGGAAAGACATTGGTCTTTGTCCACTATAAACTTCTGGGTATGTTTTCTCGATACACCACTCACCATTGCCCTCTGAAAGAAGGAAAAGAAAAAAAGACTGGGTTGGCATGAAAAGAAACTTTTTCAATGATCAACACCATCTCTTCGAAAGACTTCCCATCACATCAAGAGAATCAACTCAAGTTAATTACTTGTTACTAAATCAACAATAGTTTTTTCGTTAAAGATTGTTCGTACTCTTGAAGAATTAGTTGCTGTTCCCTCTATTATTCACGCCCATGGCGGCAAGGCTTGACGGAGGAAAAAATTTGTCCTGGTATATTTCAGATATTTTAGTGTTAAGTTTTTATTACCATGTTTTGCGTCGTTTTTGCGCCATACCAAAAACAGTTCCAAGTAAATACGATACCTGTTTCGGTTTTTTTATGTCCCACTGAATTAATAAGGTGGATACGTAGTAATTCGCTTCCATAGGCCACAGATCCAAAGGAAAGCGAGCACTTTTGCTTGTCAAAAGGAAAGGAGCTGATATCAATATCACACGCACTCTCCAGGTTAGCAGGTGCGTTCCATACGCATGTCCCGTTGCTGTATAGCAATACCCAGCTCTTGAAGAATTCAGTATGTCCTGCTTGAATGACTTGTTTATCACTACTGCAAGGACATGTAATTTACGGTTTGATCGTGAATACCAAGATAAAAGTAGAATTCTTTCATCAACAGAAGTAAGCTATCGCTAGATTACCCAGACTTAATCAAAGATTTTGAGCTTACACAATTAAATTCAGGGGGAAAACGCTAATGGAAATGTAAACAATCAAACAAACAAATTAACGGACCGCAAGTAAAATGACAGACCACGTACTTATTGTATAGAATTATATCTGGAACCCATATTTCCGTCGGACTGACGTGGATATATTCAATGTCTCCGTGCTTTTTTTTGTCCCATTCAAGAAAGGGATTGTGCCATTTCTGAGAAAATAAAAAATTAAAATTAAAATTAAAATTAACAAAGAAAGAAAGAAAGAATAAAATAGCCACTCGAGAATGTGAATGTAGTTCCAGGCTCTGTAATGTATACGTACCTACATGTATGACAGATTGTATTTTGTTACTTCGGTTTCAAGTTATGAAATAAAATTTTATTTCATTTTACTTTTTTTCAATTTTATATTTTTTAATATTACTATAATAATTTATATTAAATAAATAAGTTACTGTAATACAACAAAGGTACATACTATAGTAAAACAAGTTAGCCATGTAACTCAAAAAGAAAAAAAAAACACTAATAAAATATACAATAAAATATTGATAAAAGCAAAAAACAAAAACAAAAACAACAGCACATATTTGAAGTTATTAACCCGAGAAGTCTTAAAACATATCAAAAATGCACAAGGAGGTCCGCTTATTTCTGTATTTGGTGTGGTTTCCAGTTTTAATAGAGATTTCTCTTTCGCATCGAATTTTAGTTGCCAGAAGAACAATGAAAACATCGCAATATGCTTGTACAAGTTTTGCACACAAACCGATAACCACCTAGTAATGTCAAGGACAAAGACCGAACCGGAGGACAGACAGGGAGCAGTATACAAGATCAAATGCTGCGACTGCAAGAACAAACCTTAGCACGCGACTGACCAAACACAAACGAGCGACGAGAAATGCTGACGTGAACAATCACATTGTTGAACGAAGATCACCATTTACAGACGAAACATTAAATCGAAAAATCGACTGGGACTCTGCGACATGTATTATGTGTTCTACAGTCTACTATCAACGACTTATTATTAATATAGAAAGCTGGTTTACTAGCTTAGAACAAATGCCATTGAATCGGAATCAACAGTTACCAGCACAATAGAAACGACTTATTGACGAGATCGAGCAAAACTACACAACAATACAATGAGAACGACTGGAGAACTGACAATTTGACTAACAATAGACGACTGTTTAACTGTAACAATAGACGGATCGAAACGCACCAATCACATTTCGAGTCTTCATAGCCAAGAACACCACGGCTTAACTGACAGACGACCAATAACATCGCGACGTAATTGACCAATCGGATCAATAACCAGAGTATAATACCATCAACTGACGTGATACAACTTACTTTGACTCTGAAGATGACTACCGCACAGGTTGTCGAAACGTCAGTCACTGTCAACAGCAATGGTTGATTTATTCAGGACTTCGTTCACCCGGACGATCAAACTCAACCTACTTTTGAAATGACTTGTAGGTTCAAAAATTTTAACAAAATGTTAATTTTGATTAAAATTATGTTGAGGCCACCCTTTGCTATTGGTCCAGTCAGCGTCACCAGTTTTGAGAGTGCTAGTGTTTTGATAATGGCAAGTCTTCCCAAAATTGTTAAATGTCGACCGGACCAAAGGCTTAAAACTTTTTTTAATATAGAAGCTTTTCATCAAAGTTGATTTTGTCACCAACGTCTTTTTCGTAAGCGAACACTTACACCAAAAGTAGAGACATACTGCTTCGGCCAAGAAATGCCAAAAGGTTCATCGTTTCCTAATCTACTTTTCCACGATCCCAGCCACAGCCCTTCGGTTTTTGTTTTGTTTATTTTCAACCCGGAAAAGGAGCCAAGTTTTTCAAGCAGAGAGAATAAGGATATTGCAGAGGAATCGTCGCGAGTAAAGGTAGTGGTATCGTCAGCACTACAAACTAAGTTTAGTCACATTACTGGGTCCTTTGATTGAATTGTTCTTCCGATCTGATTGCAGCAGGAGGTTCTACAGCAAGAATGAAAAGTAACGCTGAGAAAGGGCACCCTTGTCTCCAGAAGGAAAGAAAGAAGTCTGAAGTATATTCATTATTTACAACGCAGCTCGTGGTGTTATGATAAAATAATCCAGTTGCGGAAATTTGGACCAAAATCATTGTGTTTAGAACCTCGAAGAGGTAACCTCATTCCAGGGAGTCAAAGGCTTTTGCAAAATCGAGAAAAAGAATCGCCCCTTCTTCTTTTTCATTTTGTTTGATTATGTCAGAAATTAGACGGATATTTTCACCTGTAAATTCTACCCTTGATGTAACCTGTTTGGTCTCTTCCTATGACATGCGGAAGAACTTTCTCCAGCCATTTTGCGAAACATTTCGTTGCAAGTTTGTAATCTGCGTATAAGAGAGAGATAGGGCGCCAGTTTTTAAGAAGCAGTGGGTCCTTATTCTTTTTTGGAATCAAAGGAATGATCCCTTGTCTCTGGGAGATGGAGAGCTCTCCAAATTACGCCCCATTATTGAGACAGTCAATCAAAGGGTTGGAGATCTCATTCTTGAAACAAAGGTGAACACCGCCGATAAACCAACCGTTCCGGTTGTCTTATTACTTTGAAGTGATTTCAGGGCAGATAAACATTCTTCCTCAGTAATCGGGCCTTCACAGAGGCTTTGCTTTACATTGTCTGAGCCTTGGCGACAATTCAAAGTTGAGAAAATATGAAAGATCAGCGGGTGCGTGGCCTTGCGAAGCCATAGTTGTTCATAAAAGTTTCTCATTTCATTTAAAATTACTTTTGTGTCTTCCGAGACAGAACCTTCAGCATGTTTCAATTTTGTTATAGGCTTTTTGTTATAGCTTCTTTTCGAAAGATCGAAAAAATGTTTGTTACATTTTTCACCCGATTCATACCATCGATTTCTTCTTCGGACAATAAAACGTTTAGTGTTTTGTTCAGCAATTTGGTCTAATTTTATTTTTAGCGTTTGTGTTGCGCTGACGAGATGATCGTCATTCGGAGACGCATCAGTTTGAGCGTTCAGATTCTCAAGTTTTCGAAGAAGTTCCTGCTCTGTGTTTCTTTTATCCTTAGCTTTTTCTTCGGTGAACCGAATGAAGAAAATCCTGATCTCCATTTTCAGTATTTCCCAAAAGTTCCTAGCGTCGGTAACGTCTTTGTATTTCTGCTTGGCGTTTATAATCATAGACTTCATTTTTAAGACAAATTCTTCGTTTTCAAGCAAAGACTTGTTGAACTTCCGAAAACCTGGCCCTCTTTGTCCTTGTTTTTCTTCTGATCCAATAGACCTTTTTACCGATAAGGTGGCCATATTGAATTAATTCGATTTGAGGAGTATTATAGGATGCCAGGGGGCTTGAGCACATTTCGTTTGTATTTTTGAGCGCTTTTCGGGACACTTTTTCTTAAAGTTTTCTTAGAATAAGATGGTAATGAGAGAGATCCTTGTGCCGTGTATGGATGTAATGATGATCGCCGTTTTCTAGTTTAGTATTAGAAATATGGTCTTTCACTGTATATTTCTCGGGAAAAATGCAATCATTATTACATCCAAACACGGCACAGGGATCTGTTTTCCCGTTACAATCTTATTCTAAGAAAAATTTAAGAAAAAATGTTCCGAAAAGCGCTCGAAAATACAAACAAAATATGCTCATGCCCCCTGGGCATCCTATAATACTCCTTAAATCGAATTAATTCAATATGGCCGCCGTATCGGTAAAAAGGTCTATTGAGTGGTGACGGGAGAGTGATTCGAGTCATAGTAGGCGTTCATGCCGATTCTAATGACACAGCACAGTAATTGTTTAATCTTACCCAAAGAATCTGCCCAGGAAAAGCGTACCTCGTCTGGGTGTTGAAATCGCCAAGCGTCGACTAAATTGAAGTTATTACAAAGATCTTTGATCGATTGGATTGCTTTTTTCCAATGGAGACTGTCTTTGCCACCCACCTTTATCAAAGGCTGACATTGGACAGTTAAAGTTACTATCTGCTAAGATCTTGCTGGGAACGTTACGACGAACCTGGAGGCAGCGTGGCCGAGTGGTCAGCACGTCGGACTCGTAATCCGGCGGTCCCGGGTTCGAATCCTTCTATGGTCAATTGCTGGATTTGTTATCGGTCGTTCCGAGTTCAAATCCTCGGCCACGCTTGTAATTAGCCAACTGGCTGCCTTCTGCCAGTTGGGGTTTTAAATCCTGTTATTTTGTATTTGAATTATTTGTTTCTAAGTATTTGAGTGGAGCGCCTGTAAACTAGCTGAATAAGTTAGGTGCACTTCCTACTATTAAAAAGCCTTTAAACTTTTTTTAATATTTTAATCGGAAAAAGTCTACTTGCTAGGTTTGGTCATTAGGCACGTAAATACTGACCAAACATAACTCGCCTTGGTTGATATTTACATTTGTGACAAGAGCGAGGCCGTATTTATCTGCGTTTGTTTTTAGGACATCGACGTTTAAAGACAGTTTTAAAAGAATCATCACACCTTTACTGTGTTTAGAGCCATGCGCGAACAGTATTTCACCGCCTCACTATTTCATTTAAATAATTAACCTAGAACGCAGGAAGGCAAGAAAAAACTAACACATGTAACAATATAAGCACTATAATTAAGCTGCGGAGCAGCTTATTGTATAGGAAGAGCGATTTTAGGCAAAAAAGCATGTGAACCTTAAGGCGAGAAAGAACAGAAAGCCCGCTTCCTACTTACCGCTAGTAAAAAGTGTGAAAGTGAATTCCAGCATGGATAAGAGGAAAAAAGGGCGAGGTGTCTTTTTAAAACTACAGTGCTGAGCAAAGATGAATTTTGAAAGATTTCAAACTGTTGTCGGGGAGAAAAAAAAATTACAGCAAAAAAGAAAGGATTTAGTAGCGAGAAAGAAAAAAAAACGATAAACTAAGTCTTCTCAGTTCTTCTTCAGCAAAAACCCTCTTTGTTAGATCCTGCTTGTTTTTCTTGATAGTTTTAAGTAAACCTAGCTAAGAATGAAAAGCTTTACTAAAAAGATGCGTCTTTAAAAATTTTTTGAAAGTGTCAACAGATTTGGCCATTCTAATTTCCAGAGGTAAGTCGTTCCAGAGTTTAGGCACCGCAGCAACAAGAGCACTGTCGCCCAGGGTTGTTGAAGTTTTAAAATTCGGGTGACACAGCAGTATTCCGTCGTTAGATCGCAGGCTATATCTTGAGTTTAAAGGCTTAATTTTAACAAGATCATT